AGATCAGACTCCATCCCCAATCTTTCCTCCTCCTCCTTCTCCTTCTCCTCCCATCCATCTTTTCTTATCGGTTATTCTTGCAATGGAGGCAAAAGCCTGTTCTTCACTTCTTTCCTCTGTGACCGGTCTCTGCTTCCCCCTGTCACCTGCAGAAGAATGAACATGACCATGATACACAGGTTCCTGGGAGTCCATGTACCAGGAATTTGTCCAGAAAAACAAGGTTCCCCTGACTCACACCCCAGAAACTAGTCCTGTGAGACAGGTGGTGGTGAGGAAGGAAAGAGGTTTATTCAGGTGCCGGCAACCTGAGAAGATGGGGGAAGCTCGTTCCAAAACCCATCTGCACATCTCAGTGCAGGCAGAGGCTTTTATAAGGAGGGAGAGGCCAAACAGAGCAAAGAGGTCAGGGGGCGGGGCTTGAGAAGTTCTCTATGTGCTGACAGGCACAGTCCAATACAATAAGGATCTTACAAGTGGTCAGGTGTCGGTCCAGTGTGCGTCATCATAGAGTTTGTCCTCCTTGTTCTAAGGTTGAAGGTCATCAAATCTCCCAGAACTGGGAAGGTCAGAGTTCATATCTTGTAAAATTAGTTCCTAGGATTCTTACACAAACATGCTGTTTACCTACAAGATTCATTATTAGTCAGAGTCTGCATTTACAGGAACAATGTGGAAAGAATAGGGAGGTGAGTTGTAATTTCCACTGTGACATGAGTGCTGAGATGCTTCCTTCTCCTTCAAGGCATTTGCACCCTTTTAAAAAGTCAAATTGGCCCTGGACGGTTTGGCTCAGTGGATAGGGCGTCAGCATGTGAACTGAAGAGTACCAGATTGGATTCCAGTCAAGGGCACATACCCAGGTTGTGAGCTTGATTCCCAGTGAGGGACTTGCAGGTTGTGGCCGACCCATGATTCTCTCATCATGGATGTTTCTAACTCTCTCTCTCTCTCTTCCTCTCTGAAATCAATAAAAAATATATTTGAAAAAAAAGGCCGATGCTCTATCCACTGAGTCAAACATGCTCGGGCGCTATGTCGTCTTTAAATGACTACCCACCTGGTATGTTAAACCAAAAAAAATAATAAACTATTTTAAAACAATGCGCATTTAATCTGAATGCCACACTTGCTTAATATTTTTAAAATGGTTTTATTGTCTCAGAGAGGAAGGAAAAGGAGAGGGAGAGAAATATCCAGGGTGAGAGAGAATCACGGATGGGCCGTCACCCAACGCCGCCAACTGGGGATCGAACCCGCAACCTGGGCATGTGCCCTTGAAGGGGAATCGAACCATGACCTTCTGGTTGATAGGTCCACACTCTGCCACTGAACCACTCCGGCTGGGCCCGAAGTGCAATATTTTGAATATGAGAAACACACCTTAGAAACACAACCCTCACGCTCCACAGTCCTCAGGCTTAAAGGTCTCAATGTGCATTTGCAAACACTTTCTTGCAAGAGGAGAATTTAATCAGCACTCAGTGATCACTTTAATGCCGCCATGGATGACATGAAATTGATTTTTGGGGCTCATCCTGGGACCTCCTCCCGCCACCTGTCTTAGGTGCGATGCTAGATAAATTTTATAATCGCTGGGCTTTGTTTGGGGATGTTATTGCTAAACACAATAAAAACCCAAATGCATCCAGAGCTAGACACTAAAGCCACACATAGAGCCTGTTCAAGCCTTCAGCTGACTAGCCCTGGCATCCCTCGTAATTCCTCAAAGGAAAGAGATGATCAGCATAAAACACCCCTATCCCCCAAACATTCCTTCTTTTTTTGGAGAGGGTCGTATTGGATGACAAAGCTCAGGAGATCAAACAATGAGAACGCTGGTCATTCAAATGAAAACTATTTCCAGTGATGTCTTCGAAACTTGCCTACCGGGGCTGGGCTAATATTTACACACTGAAGGTCTTTTTCTTTGTCTTTCTCTGTTTTATATATTTTTACTAGAGGCCCGATGCACGAATTCGTGCACCAGTGTGGTGCCTCAGGCTGGCCTGCGGGGATCCGCCGAAAGTGGCTCTCTGACATCCCCCGCGGGTTCCCAGACTACGAGAGGGCACAGGCCAGGCCAAAAGACCCCACCGGTGCCCCATTAGGTGTGGGGAGGGACTCGGGAGGTTGGCCAGTTGGGGAGGGACCATGGGAGGGCTCCAGGGTGTGTCCAGCCTGTCTCACTCAGTCCCCATCAGCCAGACCCCAGCAACAATCTGACCTACCAATCTGAATGTCTTGTCCCTGGTGGTCAATGCATTTCATAGTGAGCAGTTGAGCAACCTTAGTATATCCTTTGCATATTATGTTTGATTGGTTGAACAGATGACCAATCGACTGGATACTTAGCATATTAGGCTTTTATTATATAGGATTGCTTTCATACAGGAAAGGAGCGAGAAACATCAATGATGAGAGTGAATCATACATCGGGTGCCTCCTAAACACCCCCTACTGGGGATTGAGCCCACAACCAGAGCATGTGCTCTTGACCAGAATCAAACCTGGGACCTTCCAGAGTCCACAGTCCAACCCTCTATCCACTGAACCAAACAAGCTAGGGCTCATTGGTTAATTCTTGTCTGTGCCCAGACCAGGAAATGAACTGTGACCTCCGGGTTCATAACTCGTCCGTCAACCACTGATAAACACCAGCTTGGGTCAAAATGCTTTTATTGATTTGAGAGAGAGGGAGAGAGTCAGAGACATATAGGGAGACAAAGAGACAGAGAGAGAGAGAAAGGAGGAGGAGGAGGAGAAGAAGGAGAAGAAGTAGAAGAAGAAGAAGGAGAAGAAGAAGAAGAAGGAGAAGAAGAAGAAGAAGAAGAAGAAGAAGAAGAAGAAGAAGAAGAAGAAGAAGAACTAGAACAAGAAGAACAACAACAAGAAGAATAAGAATGAGAAGAGAGAGAGAGAGAGAGAGACATCAATGTGCCCTTGCACTTGAGCGTGGCAGATAGAACAATAGAGCTTAGTAAAAAGGTTAACAGAACTATACATGTCCCACAAGCAGGCCAGCAGGACTGGGGCTCAGGTTGACAAGAGCCAGGGACCTCATCACATGTCCTATGAGTCTTCCATCCGCTCAAGGATCATTTCCTCCAATCCATCCACCTTTACGTGGCGCACGATGCGCCAGAACCTGTGCATGTTGTCCACGTACTGGCTACCAGATTGGAGCGTCCACATCAAAGGCATGGTGAACGAGGTCAGCGTGCTTGGGGTGAGTGCAATATCCTCAATGGGGATGTCTACCTGGTGCAACAGGACTTTCAGGACATCTTCTGTCTCCATGATGAGGTGCAACCATGTGCGATTGTTTTCGTCCTCATACCCTGAGGTCCTACGCCTCAGGAGGATGGGGTGGGAGGTGAGGTGCACCTTTGAAGGGAGCTGGGCCATGACCCCTGCGTGGTCCAAGGAGCAACAGCCACAGCTTCTCAGAGCCTCTCGCTACTTCGTTCCTGGTATCGAAAGACAGGGGATTCGGTCTCCAAATGCATTTGACCTCGACTTTTATCTTTATGGTTTTTACCGTTGTGTTTGCGGTTGCTCTTGGTTTATTTTGCAAATTTATAAATCTGAACTTTTCTTTCTTTTTAGCTTTAGATTTCTATTCTAGAACAAACTGTACAAAACGTACTTAAGGAAAAATATGACTCTCTGCAGGTAACATGGTCCTATAGAATTTTAAAAACATTTTTAAAATGACAGTTAGCTTAGAAGATTAGGTCCCTGTCAGGGTACACCCCAATGATTAGACATTATATAATGGACCAACAAATCATGCAATTAATCTCAAACCCATCTGACACTGTACACAGTTATTATAATATAACTAGAGGCTCAGTGCACAAAATTCATGCACTTGAGGGGGGTCCCTTAGTCAGTGCTTCAGCCTCTTCCAGTTTGGGACCCCTTGGGGGATGTCCAACTGATGGCTTAGGCCCGTTTTATTGCTGCCGTGGAGGCTCCCACTCCCCCCCTGTGCTCATCAGTTGTGAGCCTGGCTTTTGGCTGAGTGGTGCTCCCCCTTTGGGAGCGAACTGACCACCGGTGGACAGCTTTTGCCATCAGCATCTGCCCCAGGTAATCAGTGCGTGTCATAGGGACCAGTCTTTCTGCTGTTTGGTCCATTTGCATATTAGCCATTTATTATATTGATTGACTCAATGCTCTACTTTACTGTGCTATGACTATTCTTTCATTTTTTTCATATAGTTTTACAGATTTCAGAGAGGAAGGGAGAGGGAGAGAGAGAGAGAAAGATCAATGATAACAGAAAATCACGGATTGTTTGCCTGCTGCATGCCCCTTACTGGGGATCAAGACTTTAACCCGGGATTGTGCCTTGACTGGGAATCGAATCGACATCTCCTGGTTCCTAGGTTTAAGCTAAACAACTGAGCCATGCCAGATGGGCTCTTTTCTTTCCTTTCCTTTTCTTTTTTTTTTTTATGAAAACTTTGTAGTTGGTTCAACTTTTCTTTTTGTCCTGAAAACACCATCTTCTTTCTGATCATCTCAGAGGGAACTCACAAACCATAGAATAAGCCACCTCATGCAAATATTATGCAAATAATATGGTTTACCTTTAACAGCTGGCAGAGGAACAAAGGTAATGTCAGCGTCCAGGTGGGCTTCTTAAAAGCGGTCTTACTTCTCAGGTGCTGGAGAGAGAGGCAAGACCAAAATATTCAGGGACAGACAGATACCTGCGATAGCTGATCAGGCAAACCGGAATTAAGAGTCAGGTGAAACAGCAAGTAGGATTCCTGAGTTCTCATGACATCACTTATAGAATGATCTCTCCCTTCCCCAAACCTCAGCCATGCTCTTGGCAAGAGCTGTATGGTTTTGCTGCTAAACTCACTTCAGTCTACACAGTCTAAATTCCTCCCTCAGATCAGACTCCATCCCCAATCTTTCCTCCTCCTTCTGCTCCTTCTCCTCCCATCCATCTTTTCTTACCGGTCCTTCTTGCAATGGAGGCAAAAGCCTGTTCTTCGCTTCTTTCCTCTGTGATCAGTCTCTGCTTCCCCCTGTCGCCTGCAGAAGAATGAACATGACCATGATACACAAGTTCCTGGGAGTCCATGTACCAGGAATGTGTCCAGAAAAACAAGGTTCCCCTGACTCACACCCCAGAAACTAGTCCCGTGAGACAGGTGGTGGTGAGGAAGGAAAGAGGTTTATTCAGGTGCCGGCAACCTGAGAAGATGGGGGAAGCTCGTTCCAAAACCTATCTGCACATCTCAGTGTATGCAGAGGCTTTTATAGGGAGGGAGAGGCCAAACAGAGCAAAGAGGTCAGGGGGCGGGGCTTGAGAAGTACTCTATGTGCCCACAGGCACAGTCCAATACAATAAGGATCTTACAAGTGGTCAGGTGTCGGTCCAGAGTGCGTCATCATAGATTTTGTCCTCCTTGTTCTAAGGTTGAAGGTCATCAAATCTCCCAGAACTGGGAAGGTCAGAGTTCATATCTTGTAAAATTAGTTCCTAGGATTCTTACACAAACATGCTGTTTACCTACAAGATTCATTATTAGTCAGAGTCTGCATTTACAGGAACAATGTGGAAAGAATAAGGAGGTGAGTTGTAATTCCCACTGTGACATGAGCACTGAGATGCTTCGTTCTTCTTCAAGGCATTTGCACCTTTTGAAAAAGTCAAACTGGCCCTGGCTGTTTTGGCTCAGTGGATATAGTGTTGGCCTGCGAACTGAAGGGTCCCGGGTTCGATTCCGGTCCAGGGCACATGCCCAGGTTGTGGGCTTGATCCCCAGTGAGGGATGTGCAGTAGGCAGCCGAACCATGTTTCTGTCATCATGGATGTTTCTTACTCTTAACCTCTCCATTCCTCTCTGGAAAAAAAATTAAAAACAACTCCCATCTCAATGACCTGGACTGAGGCAAATTCTTCCCCAATTAGGAAGGAAAAATGAATGGTGCCATAGGAAATATCAGACATCTGCCTGTTGGCATTTAGGAGAAGAAAATAAAAAGAAAAAAGAAAAAAGGGGTGGAAAAAAAACATAATACAAATGTCACCCTCATACTGCCCTCGAAGAAATCCAGACTAAAGTGGTCATGTGGCAGAATGTCTGCAGTGGGACATATGACCGATCTCGAGTCCATGGGCTCTTTTATAAAAACATATATATGTATTTTTATTGATTTTAGAGAGGAAGGGAGAGAGAGATAGAAACATCAGTGATGATGAGAGAAAATCATGAACCGGCTGCCTCCTACACACCACCCACTGGGGATCGAGCCCGCAACCGGGCATGTGCCCTTGACTGGAATCAAACCCAGGACCCTTCTGTCCGCAGGCCGACGCTCTATCCACTGAGCCAAACCTGCTCATGCGCTAGATCATCTTTAAATGGCTACCCACCCGGGATGTTAAACCAAAAAAATAATAAACTGTTTTAAAACAATGTGCATGTCATCTGAATGCAACAATTGCTAATATTTTTTTAAATGATTTTATTGACTCAGAGAGGAAGGGAAATCGAGAGGGAGAGAAACATCCATGATGAGAGAGAATCACGGATAGGCCGCAACCCAACGCTGCCTACTGGGGATCGAACCCCCAACTTGGGCATGTGCCCTTGATCGGGAATTGAACCGTGACCTTCTGGTTGATAGGTCCACACTCAGCAATTGAACCACTCCGGCTGGGCCCGACGTGCAATATTTTGAACATGAGAAACACACCTTAGAAACACAACCCTCACGCTCTCCAGTCCTCAGCCTTAAAGGTATAAATGTGCATTTGCAAACCCTGTCTTGCAAGAGGAGAATTTAATCAGCAGTCAGTGATCTCTTTAATGCAACCATGGATGCCCTGAAATTGATTTCTGGGGCTCACCCTGGGCCCGCCTCCCGCCACCTGTCTTGGGTGTGATGCTAGATAAATTTTATGATCGCTGGGCTTTGTTTGGAGATGTTTAGTGCTAAACACAATTAAAAACCCAAATGCATCCAGAACTAGACGCTAAAGCCACACACAGAGCCTGTTCGAGCCCTCAGCTGACTAGTCCTGGCATCCCTCGTAATTCCTCAAAGGAAAGAGATGATCAGCATAAAACACCCGTAATCCCCCAAACATTCGTTCTTTTTTAAGAGAAGGTAGTATTGGTTGACGAACCTCAGGAGATCAAACAATGAGAACGCTGGTCATTGAAAAGAAAACTATTTCCAGTGATGTCTTTGAGCCTTGCCTACCAGGGCTGGGCTAATATTTTCAAGCAGAAGGTCTTTTTCTTTGTCTTTCTCTGTTTTATATATTTTTACTAGAGGCCCGATGCACGAATTCTTGCACCAGTGTGGTGCCTGGTGCTGGCCTGCGGGGATCGGCCGAAAGTGGCTCTCTGACATCCCCCACGGGTTCCCAGACTACGAGAGGGCACAGGCCAGGCCAAAAGACCCCACCGGTGCCCCATTAGGTCTGGGGAGGGACACGGGAGGTTGGCCAGCTGGGGAGGGACCATGGGAGGGCTCCAGGGTGTGTCCAGCCTGTCTCACTCAGTCCCCATCAGCCAGACCCCAGCAGCAATCTGACCTACCAATCTGAATGTCTTGTCCCTGGTGGTCAATGCATTTCATAGTGAGCAGTTGAGCAACCTTAGTATATCATTTGCATATTATGTTTGATTGGTTGAACAGATGACCAATCGACTGGACACTTAGCATATTAGGCTTTTATTATATAGGATTGCTTTCATACAGGAAGGGAGCGAGAAACATCAATGATGAGAGAGAATCATACATCGGGTGCCTCCTAAACACCCCCTACTGGGGATTGAGCCCACAACCAGAGCGTGTGCCCTTGACCAGAATCAAACCTGGGACCTTCCAGACAAGCTAGGGCCCATTGGTTAATTCTTGTCTGTGCCCTGACCCGGAATTGAACTGTGACTTCCGGGTTCATAACTCGTCTGTCAACCACTGATAAACACCAGCTTGGCTCAAAATGCTTTTATTGATTTGAGAGAGAGGGAGAGAGTCAGAGACATACAGGTAGACAAAGAGACAGAGAGAGAGAGAGAGAGAGAGAGAGAGAGAGAGAGAGAGAGAGAAAGGAGGAGGAGGAGGAGAAGAAGAAGAAGAACTAGAAGAAGAAGAAGGAGAAGAAGAAGAAGAAGAAGGAGAAGAAGAAGAAGAAGAAGAATAAGAAGAAGAAGAAGAAGAAGAAGAAGAAGAAGGAGAACTAGAACAAGAAGAACAATAAGAACAAGAAGAACAAGAACAAGAAGAACAAGAACAAGAAGAACAACAACAAGAAGAAGAATAAGAACGAGAAGAGAGAGAGAGAGAGAGAGAGAGAGAGAGAGAGACATCAATGTGCCCTTGCACTTGAGCCGGCAGATAGAACAATGGAGCTTAGTAAAATGATT